ACGTTACCATCAGCCGAAAAGATTTGGCTTAACAACTGGGAAGCAAACTTATCTGGACGCCGCCCTGCGTTACCCTCCAGACTGTGTCCGGTAAGAAGATTGACATCGACGGAAAAGTTAACACTAACATGATGAAGTGCCCGCTGACCATCACACAGCGTACGTAGCAGAGATCACTGATCCTTGCATACTCGGATTGGACTTTCTAAGGAAATACAATTTTTCCTTAGACTTAAAAAAAAAAAAAAAAAAACGAATTGCATGCTACATCTGAGGACATAGCCCTATTCGGAATTAATGATGAAGGAGTGAAATCTATCCACAAAATCATAGCTCAAGATGATATCACAGTACCTGCAAGGACAGAGTTTCCTACTTCCTGGATCCATAGCCGAAAATAGAAATTTCTGCTACGGCATCAGAGAATATCCCAATAACTGTAATAGTCCGAAAGGAATACTACTAGCCTCAACGCTCGTCGACCTATCCAGAACGGTTATCCCGGTGAGAGTCGCCAATGTAACAGAGAAGGCGAGAGTTATTAAGAAAGATTAAGTAGTTGCAGCATGTACTCTTGTAACCAGTTTTGAAAGAAAGAGTAACATCCCAGAATCCGTGTTCTTAGAGAGCATTACATCGGAGTTATTGCAGAATGCCCAATTAAACGATGAAGAGAGAAATGCTGTCAATCACGTCATTAAAGATCTTCAAGTTGTTTTCTCCTGTTCGCCTTCTGATGTGGGTTAAACCAGTTTGACACAACATAGAATCGATACCGGCGATCATCCCCCGATCAAGCAACATCTAAGACGTCAACTGTTTGCTAAACAGGAAGAGGTACGAACACTTTTAAAGGATATGGAAGAAGGCGATGTCATCGAGCCTTCAGCAAGTCCATGGGCATCTCCCATCGTCCTTGTCATAAATAAAGACGGCTCAACAAGATTTTGCGTTGACTATCGCCAGTTGAATGAGGTTACAAAGAAAGACAGTTACCCTCTTCCTAGAATTGACAACATTCTGGTCACACTTTCTGGAAGCAAGTGGTTCTTAACACTTGATTTAAAGAGTGGATATTGGCAGGTAGAAATCCATCCTGATGACCGAGAAAAGACGGCATTTACTACGGGACAAGGACTTTGGCAGTTCAAGGTGATGCCGTTTGTATTCTGCAATGTGCCGGCTACATTTGAACGCCTAATGGAGACTGTTTTGAAAGGTCTTTCCTAAGAGGCCTGTCTCATATACCTGGATGATATCATCATCGTCAGAAAGACTTTTGAAGAACATCTAGAAAATCTTAGAAATGTGCTTCAAAAACTGAAGGAAGCCAATCTAAAATTCAGTCCCGCTAAATGCAAATTATTCAGACAGGAAGTGACTTACCTGGGACATGTCATCTTTGCAGAAGGTGTGTGCACAGATCCTGACAACATGCCAGCCGTTAAATCCTGGAGACGTCCCGAAAATGTCCATCAGCTTAGAAGCTTCCTAGAGCTTTGCATCTACTATAGGAGATTCGTGAAGGACTTTTCTTCATCGCAAAACTCCTTTCACAAGCTGACATAGGAGTAAAACAAAAGTTCTTGTGGACAAAAGAATGTGAGGATATATTTAATAACTTAAAGGAAGCTTTAACATCTGCTCCAATCCTGACGTATCCTCAGCTCGACAGATCATTTATTCTCGACACGGATACAAGCAATGAAATTGTCGGTACTGTTTTGTCCCAGGAAATAGACGGCCAAGAGCGTGTAGTGGTTTACTGGAGCAAGTGCCTGTCTAAACTGGAGAGGAATTGTGTCACCAGGAAAGAGTTGCTCGCCATAGTCAAAGCCGTAGAGCATTTCCATCATTATCTATGTGGCAGGAAATTCTTGCTCCGCACTGATCATGCATCATTGACCTGGCTTTTAAATTTCAAGAATCCCGAGGGTCAAAAAGCCAAATGGACATCACTATTTGTCATCGTAAGGGGTCATCACACGGAAACGCTGACGCCCTGTCTAGAAGACCTTGCCCAGAAAGCTGCCGATATTGTTCCAGGGTTGAAGCGAAATATGAGCTGCTGAGTCCGATAGTATGACAAATTACGACATCAACATTGGCTGATCGAGACCCGTGGAGTGATAATGAAGTCAGCAAAGACCAGCAGGAAGATCGTGACATTAAATCCATAATTGATTTAATGGGATCATCAAACAGAAAACCTACATGTCAGGACATTTCTATCTATAGTTCTACAACAAAACAATACTGGGCACTCTGGGATTCACTTCACATTCGAAACAGCGTTTTATACCGAAAATTCAAATCGAATGATGGGAATACTTTTCAATGGCAACTGATACTTTCAAGATCCTTCATTCCTGATGTCCTTAAAGAACTACATAACAGCCCTACAAGAGGTCACTTTAGAATAATGAAGACCTTGCAGAGAGTTTGTGAGTGCTTTTACTGGAATAATGCAAAGGATGATGTGCAAAAGTGGTGCCGATCTTCCGATGCCTGTGCAGCTCGAAAAGGACCAAGAAAACGCAGCGGAGGCAAGCTGCAATGTTACAACGTAGGCGTGCCTTTTGAACGTATTGCCTTTGACATCTTGGGACTTCTGCCACGAACTGCTGATGGTAACAAATACATACTCGTTGTCATTGATTATGTCACCAAGTGGCCTGAAGAGTATCCTATTCCTGATCAAGAGGCTGTCACAGTAGCCGAGGTGATAATACAGCACTGGATTTTCAGGTTCGGAGTGCATCTTCAGTTACATTCCGATCAAGGAAGGAATTTTGCCTCGGCAGTAATCAAAGAACTATGCAAACTACTTGGCATTGACAAAACTCAAACGACGCCATTGCATCCCCAGTCGGACGGCATGGTAGAGAGGTTCAATCGAACCATCCTTAATAACCTCTCGTTAGTGGTTTCCAGAAACCAGCAGGACTGGGACAAGAAATTATCACTTTTTTACTGGCTTACCACAGTGCTGTCCACGAGACTGCTGGCTATTTCCCATCACAGATGCTCTTCGGTCGTGACCTTCGTCTGCATTGTGATCTCTTGTTTGGTCGCCCTCCTGATGCTCCTTCATCACGTGAGGAATACATCCACGATGTCCAGGCCCGGTTTAAAGTGATGCACCGTTCCGCACGAAAGCGAGTCAACTTGGCATCGGACAAAGTGAAGAACATGTACAACACCAGAGCTACTGGATATAGATTCAACAAAGGAGACAAGGTGTGGTGGTGGAACCCGATTCAATGAAAAGAAGTCAGGCCTAAATTACAGTCATCTTGGTTTGGTCTGCAAACAGTCCTAAACAGGCTGAATGACGTCGTGGTTCGAATCTGTGAGTCTTCGTACTCTAAACCTAAAGCCGTTCATTACGACAGGTTAGCTTATTACTATGGCCATAGTACAAGGTCATGGTCCTTTTTGTTTCTAAATGTGTATTTGATTAGACTTGTATTTAGTATTTGATTTGTATTTAGTATTTGATTTGTATTTAGTATTTGATTTGTATTTAGTATTTGATTTGTATTTAGTGTTGGATTTGTATTTGATTTATATTTTGCATTTGATTTGTTTTAGTTATTTCATTTATGCCATAGTAGTAAGTTTGGCTTCCTGTCCAGGGATTGTACTGCTCGGGACGTGCAGTCCTTGGGAAGGGGGCAGTGTTTCGAATTTGGTATTTAAATAGCTAATGTTAGAAGAATTATAAATTAAACTGTTTTATTCCCTGTGCAATGCAGCGCATGACGAATATTATGAGAAAGCTAAGCTGGAAAAATTAAAAATACAAGAGCATGTGCATTTAACATTTAAATAAATAAATATCTCTTTTTGATTTCGAGAAAGTTCCAGAAAATTCTCACGTGCGATTTAAAATCTTATAAAAAAGAGGAAAACTCAATTCAGTTGTAGTTGTTAGTTAGTTTGTTTAGAAAACTGCTCTTGTTAACTGTAGCGAATTCGCGGATTAGGTTTCTTTAGCTGTTTTGAATTAAGTTATGTTGAATGTTTGAGTAGTCGAGATAACTACTGTGAGATAACGTAATACTCTACGAATATCTAAGGAAATTTAGGCATTTTGTGATAATAATAAATTTTTGTTCATTTTTCATTGGACTTGTGCATTCATTTCATAACGAACCTGCACGCACGCAACAATCAATATATATATATATATATATTATATATATATATATATATATATAAAAGAGAGACATGTCAGATGAGTAAATTTAAGGATCTTTTGCCGATGTTGGCCTGAAATTAAAGACTTTTTAGGACCAAAAATCATTGGGGGGAGGAGGAAGAAACACACACACACACACACAGCCTGACTTTTAAGGACTGTATGAATCCTGTAATAATAACACTACGATGCACATTCAGCTCCCTCGCAATAGCAGATTGTCTTACACCAGCTTGCAACATGCCAATAGCACCTTCTTAATGCATTTCACCATAAAAATGGTGTCTCTGGCTCATGCTTTTCACTTTGGCTGTCTCAGATTATATGGAGCTATCAGTGCTTGCGAACTGACGTGCAAGTCCAGCATGCCCATTTTTAAAGCGTTGTTGTGTGACTATGGGAATGTGTTTTATGCTAATAGTGGCTGCCTATTTGCTTTAGGCGATGCAACCTCTACCTAAACTATATGTTTTAATTCCCTTTTTTACATCTGTGCATTTTTTTTAATAGTTGTTCAGGACTTTTTTAGTTGTCGTCTTTTGTTGCTCATTTTTTTTAGGACAAATGTATTTTGATGGGCATGAAAACTGTTTAAAGTGGAAGGTGGTTCAAGGGATTTACATTTAAAAATTAAATTTTTTATTTTACTTTCACAGACAAAAATGTTTAATTAAAAGAATGTTCATCATACACTGATAAATAAAATAAAAAAATATCCTTAACATGAAAAATGAATGCTCCTCACATCACAAAAGTTCAACTGCAATTATTCAAAACAAAGAATACAAAATCTTACCTCAGCATGTTGCGGTTGTTCTATTTTATAAAGTAACTGCTTGACAAGCATCACATTAAAATACTCTCGTATCCCATTTGTTGTTTCTACAATAGCAGTTTCTCTAGAAGGATTATTATTAAATATCTCAAACATTTGTGAAAATATTTAATACAACAAAGAAATTTTTCTTTAATATTAAAATAAAATACTTTATATGCTGTGAATTTTTTGTATATCATTTAAAAATTATTTAAATTTCAAAACATAATTTATGCAGAAATAATATATGTCATATGTAATTTTAATATAATATCCATTTTAGAGTATAGTTCAGTAATATATTTGTAACTGTTTCCATTTCACAAAACTGATATTTTCAATTTCCTTCATATTTGTATTGTAGATAATTTCTTTACCTCTGGTATTTACATAATTATAAAAAGCATCTAAACACATTTACATGAAACTTAGTACCCCTTTTTTGACATGCACAAATTAAATAGATATCTTTACTTAAGATTCTAAGATTGGTATCACTAAATTTAAGGACTCTAATGACAGTCACAGAACTGATGGTTAAACTGGTACCAATTGCTAGATTGATTCTTCAATATCCTTATGAATAAGAGGTTTGTTTCAAGTATATTATTCATCTTGTGCATGTAAAATTTGTTAACATCTTTTTTAGAACATTCTGTTTTTTCTTTTCAATTCATTAATCCCACAATAACATGTTTCTGGATTATAATATGTTGACCTTAAGTATTTTTTCTTAAATATATTTATATATTACTCTTTTTACTTTCACACTTTACACAATTTCCTTTTCCCATTAATCTTCCATTTTTAGCTGTCAATTGATGATAATTCTTAGTATCTGTTTTCTCTTTACACTTAACATAATAGATCTTACCTATTCCCATTCCAAATTTCATTTTAGCATTAATATGAGGTTTAATAACTCCTTTGGCTAATCTTTCTCCAATTGTTAGATTGATTATATTATTTAAATCATCTATTAAGAGCATCCTTCATTTGAAAGTGCAGGAATTTCACTAAATTGGCCAATCAGACAATACTATTAAAAGATGGGAAATGAAACAATTAGGATTGAAACACAAATCTTGCTATGGAACTCTGTGAAACATTTAATATTAAGGAGATGGAATTATTTGATGTATTATTTGAAAGTTCTGAAGCTTGTTAAAACTGGCCAATCAAATGATACTATTGAAGGGTATGCAGCTTCAGAGTATTTTAAATCAAAACACGGATTATATAATTTTTCATGGGTACTTTAGTCTGTAACTCGTAATGGTTTGAAAAAATTCAAAATTCAAATACAAAATAGCACAAATAGAATTTATTTTTCAAGCTTAAATTGTACAAACATATATATATGACAGAAATTTTGTATGAAAAGAAAATTATATAGTCATAAATGATTCAAATCATCTTTTTTTAATAACAAAAATTAGTATCAACAAAATCTCAGCTAAAAAACAACTGTATTTAAAGTATATTTCTATATTGACTAAGATAATTAGAACAGGGAAGCCAAGTCATAAATGATAAAGCAAATATATACTAATTCAGAAGTCAAACAACAAAAATCGGCGTTATATTTTCAAAATTTTCACAGGACTAGTTTCGATGGTTTTACCGAACCACCATCCTCATGTGCAAAACCGCAAATGAAAAAAATAGGAAATAATGATTAGATAAGATAAGAAAGCCTGGACAAGAATAAGCAAGTGGCACCATCTGTTGATGAAACCAGAACTAAAACATAATTTCTTTAAAGGCAAAGATGGATTGGAATTATGATCGTTAACTAGAACAGAAATTTTTTTGAATGTGAAATGCCTCTAGAAAATCCAGTTCTCCAATTGAATAATTTTGGCAGCAGAAAAATAATTCATAAAACATCTTTCATTGGAGAATTAGATTTTCTAGAGGCATTTCACATTCAAAAAAATCTTTCTGTTCTAGTTAACGATCATAATTCCAATCCATCTTTGCCTTTAAAGAAATTATGTTTTAGTTCTTTTTTCATCAACAGATGGCATCACTTGCTTATTCTTGTCCAGGCTTTCTAATCTTATCTAATCATTATTTCCTATCTTGTTCATTTGCGGTTTTGCAGCTGAGGATGGTGGTTCGGTAAAACCATCGAAACTAGTCATGTGAAAATTTTGAAAATATAATGCTGATTTTTGTTGTTTGACTTCTGAATTAGTATTTTTTCAGCATGTTATTGTGTCTTAATTAAGCAAATGTATTTCAAATAAAATATAAACACAACTTAAAAAATAAGGAAAATAGCAAGCTTACTTTGATGTAAATTTTGAGAAATGCAACTTAATTAAAACTAATCAAATGTGCAGCAACATATAAGTTAGGTTAATTGACTGAGGCAAAGCAACTCAGGGGCTGTCTGCCTACAGGCAGGGATACCTTTGTGGAGGAACTTTTTAAGGAAAACTGGCTAGTATCCACATTATGTATGTGAAAAACCCATGAAAACTAACCATGCAAGCCAGCCTGCCTACCGAGATTATATATATACTGTTCAACTGCTGCTCAATGCAGTTAATATATAGCATAGTTGCTATCTTTGAAATCTTAAAAAATGGCAGAAACAGGATTTCACTCCGTGCAACAATACCATTTCAAAGCAACTTCAAACTGACATCACAATATAATGCATGGCTTAGTTTACTAAACTATTCATAATTCAATTTCAATGCAAAATGCAATTGGTCATTCTAGATTTTATATTTTTTGGGTAATTTTTTTTGTATATTTTATATATTGAAAAAACCCAGAATAGCGAAAGAAAGCTTTTATTTATCGAAGTACTTTTAAATATGACGAAAATAAAATTCATAGTTAATGTACAGATGCAGTTCACACATTTTTTAGATGATTTTGATTTTTTTAACTGCAACTATATTTTTGAAAGTATAAATTATCGTCTTTTACTTGACATTTTCATTTTCAAGCAAAATGGCACTTTAAAAGAAGTGGATGCGATGGTATGAGCATGCTCTTTCTGAAGAAAATTATGTGTATCTTATTCTTAAAAACTGCTGTGAAAGGTATGGTTTTTTTATATCTAAAGCTATGATGTCAACAAGAAGGGGAAAAACATCGAAATTTGACTTTAAGTGAAAAAATTGTTTCAAATATCAAAGGAAAAAACAAAATGTTCAGAATATTGAAAAGTTACATTTTTTATCTGCAAAATCATTAAAATGCACAGTGTCAACTATAAATAAATGCTGATATGAATCCTAAAATTGCTAAAAAACAACATGTGCATAGTCTTTCTCCACGATCTTATCACCGAATGCAGAATTCTTTATGAGAAACATTTATACAGATAAAATAGCAAAAATGTTGTCATGAATCTTGGATGTATTTAAATGACTGCAATAAAAAGAGATTCATTTATTACCATGAAAGAGGAGGAAAAAATCCTAAAATATGGTTCAAAGAATCTAAAGAAAGATTTTCAAAAGGATTTATGATTATTGCTGATTTTTCAAAATAACAGAAGGGGGAAAAAAAAAAAAAAAAAAAAAAAAAAAAAAACAAAGACAGTACAGAAAAATATTAAGATCAACTCTACATACATATTATTAGGAACATATTTATAAAAAAATTTCAAATATGAAATATCTTCTCTATACCTATAGTGCCATCAATCAGTAGAACTGAATCAATTCAAAGGAGCAGCCACAGGTCAAAATCCACTGTTAATTTCCAAGGGGAAAAAAAAAAAAAAAAAAAAAAAAAAAGAGAAGAACAAGAAGTGGGTACCCAGGCCATACCCTTCTCATATCCCTACTAAATTTCTTGTTGTATCACCCATGAAGTTTTGTGCTTTTGGACTTTTAAAAAGGCGGATTGTCGAAACATCGACCCACAACCCTCCTTGGTCTTTGGAAAGCTGTTCAAGAGAAATGAGATAATACTTCTTTCAACACTCCAAAAGGCTTTACAGTCTTGAAAATTATGGTGTTGAAAGATACTGAAGACTAAGGGCTAGCAAACAGACATTTTAAACACAAAAATTTTACATAAAATATTTCAGCAAATGCAATAAATTTGCCTATATTCTGAAAATCATTAGAGGTGGGGGAATGGATTTTCCTAATTTAAGTTTCATCAGTTCAATAAATTTCATTTACTGTTGACAAACATTTTTGAAACATTGGTTGAGTTTTCATAAAAAGTTCTGTATGTGTCTACAATAAATTAAGATAAAATAAATAAAATTTAGTAAAAAAATATGCTGAAAATTTGGGTAAGCTATTATTACATAAATTGGGGTTTAATGTAATTATCTAAAGAGTAACAAGCATAGTTTCATACTTACTTATTAGGAGTAATTCCTTTAACCGATAACTTTTGCTTGACATAATCAGAAATTATAGTATCAACATTAACTCGTGCAGGTAACTGGACCAGCTGTGAAAAGAATACTTTTGTATTTCTAGAAAATAGACTTCCAAGAAACAAGCACTATGAAATTAGAAATATTTGCTAGAACTTATTCTATCACATCAATATTTGCATTAATTAATGAAGAATATGCAACACCACCAAGAAATTTTATCTCAGAAGCAGATGTATGTGATTATTTAAAAATTAACTCAGACAACATTTTAGTTTTATTGTATTGTAAAAAATATCATATTTTTATAATTTTTGAGATCTGGAGCCAAATTGCAGTGTACAGACAGTGTACCTAAAAACCCTTTTCAAAATATTAAATGATTAATGAACATTTACATGCAATTCAATTCAATGTTTTTCAAAATACAAGAATATACTGAAATACCTGCTCATAACGAAGATTCACCTATTTACCCCTCTGTTAAAAAAGTTTGTGAAAAATTCATGTCACATGCACAAAATTTAAAATAACTGAATTTGCTGTCAGAGGCTACTTCATGGAAGAAACATATGAAATGATGTCATTTGTGATAACATAGTTATGCTATATTACAAATAGAATAAAAACACTTTTGACCATTCAACATGATGTTTTCTGAGCAATGAAGCTTGAGTTTCTTTAAATTAAAAACAGATCACTGTTATGCTACTACTATTTTATCTGAAATATTTTTCACTCTCTGTTCTTTCTTAAGATGATTAAGAACTTAATTAAGAACTTTGGGATTAGTGTTTTCAGAAAATTGAAGCTTTCCAAAATGATATAAAGACCAGTTTATGACATATTGTTCCTGTTAGAACAGAAAATTTTCTCTGCCTCAGAATGGCAACAGTGAGAACTTGACTTTTGATTTTTTGATGCAGCTTGAATGCTGCTGATGAGATGTAACATTAGATTAGATTCTAGGTTAGAATAATTTGTTTGGTATTTTAATAAATTCCTTTTAAAACTAGACTGAGTATTCTGAACATAGAATTATCACTGAACCATTACTTATAGAAATTTAGATGTGACATTTAGATTCATCGTAGAACATAGTTAGATGCACAGTGCCATTCGTCTATTTGATTAGTATACTTTAGCACACATATTTTTTTTTTTTTTTAATTCTACCAATGTTCCCAGGAATGTTAGAAGCCCTGCAGCAAGTGTTTCCATGTTCGAATATATGCTAATTTAAAAGTAATTAGGTATTAATATTTTACATTTTACACAAATATTCATTGTCTACGAACTTTTGGAGAATAAATATATTATGGGAAAGAAAGAAAATTTATAAGAACTCTCTCAGCAGCTTTAAAGCAGTTTATGGTTTCTCCATACATATAATAGTGAACAGTGAAAATGCATGCCATCTTGGTAGTGAAAGACTTTCTTACAAAATTTACTTAATGACTGATCTTAACAACACTTTTAATTTCAAAGATTCCAACATTAAGGTACAGATATGGTAACAATCTCAACACTGAGAATGAGAAGAATTCTATAAAACATACAGATAAGAATGTAAGACAGCCCTACATTTTTAAAGTGCTTTACTCAAAGACAACAAGGCATTAACATTAGCAAGCTCATATATGATATAATTAAAACAAAAGTTTTCAGCCTGACATATGAAAAATCGTTTGGAAGTTAATTCCCCTTGCAGACATGTAGTAGCAATACTAAATGAATAAATCTGAGTTTTTTTACAGAAATTTTTTGCATTCTATTTTGACTATTTATTGAATAAAATGATATGCTAGTTCGATCTGAATAATACAATGCTTGGATCTTGTGTATGCTGATTCATCTCCTTCCTATTTAACAGTAAAAGAATGGGTAAAAACGACATCATATGGGCTGAGAATCAGTAGGTGATTTTTGTGAAGTTCAACCACTGGAGGATTTAGCATATGAAAATATTGCTCGTCAGAAGGAAATACGGAGTCACAGGAGATTTTGCGAATATGCAACTTTTCCCTCTATTTAAAAGCGCATCCCACTTTTCCCACATTAATCATCAATAATGCATTTTTAAAATTATTTAGATTTTAAATCCTGTTTTGGTGAACAGATGGCACTGTCACTTAAATTTTGGTATTTATGGATGGAGATTTATGGTACACCTGGAAGATTTATTTCTACTTTCCGCTCTGAGACTGAAGCTTGTCTTTTTGCAAGCCACATAGTTCTTAATCCCATAGACGAAAATAAAATAAAATAATAATAATAAAATAAAAAAAAAAACAGTTTCAAAGACAGTGTACTGTTTGTTGCTTTAAGAAGGAGGAAAAAAAAAATACTGCAACAGGCAAAAAAATTTGCACAGAAACATGAATTTGATGCAATGAATGTGAAGTATGACTTCAGCTGGATTCTTGTTTTGAAATTTACCATACAAATCTAAATTTTTAATGTTAATTTGTGCAAATATTGAATATCTTTATTAATATATATACTTTACATTTGTATTCTATAAAGTAAATTGTAATTTTAATCATGATTTATTTTTAGAATTAAGTCTGTATATGATTACTCTTAAAATTATTTTTTGCCTGTTCTTATGCATAAACTCTATATTAAAAATATCTTTATTACAAAAATATGCTACATATTTCAACTTTCAATGTAGAATTGAAATATGTAATAAAATATGCAATTTTTGAAGCAATTTTGATAAAAAAAAATTGAGCAGGCAGGTTCCCTAATATGAAAATTCAATTGAGGTACAAGGAAAAAATAAACTATTAAATTTTCCTCTATTTCTTTCAGAATGATATCAGGTCAAAACTTTGGATCTGCCTACATATGAACTTGAAATGCTGAAAATCACACGAAAAGGGATAATTAAATCCCTGAGTGGCATGGCTTTTTGAAGCTGCTCAAAAGACCTGAATTTAAATAGCATTTATTTAGATAAATGTTTATAATTACGTATTTTAGTCTCTATTTTCATAAACATTCATTCATTAGGATGATATATACATCATTAAAGAACTAAGTAAAGCAAAAGATTTTAATTTGTAAGTTAATACACACCAGGTGACCAAAAGAGCTCATGAGTGGATAAAGGTGGTCATGCAGCTCACAGGCTTAAATAATATAAATACTTATATTGTGTTTGTTTGTGTGATTATGACAAAAGCCTCGAGGGCTATCTGCCTAAGGGGAGGGATGCCTTCGTGGAGGACTTTCTAAGGGAAACTGGCTCGTATACACGTTACACATGGGGAAAACCACGAAAACGCCCATGCAGCCAGCCCGTTCGCGGGATTCAAACCTCGGACCGAACAACCAGTGTTCAGCGACTTTACCGCTCGGCCGCTGGTGGGCTCTAAATACTTATATATGTTATCTTATGTTAAAAAGATAACATATCCTTTATAACATTTGTATGTTATTGGATGTTCATTATAACATAAAATATCCTTCATGTTTTAATTAGCAAAAACAAAATGCATTCAAACATATTTTCTGTAAATCTAAGTCCAATACAGATTAAAATATGGCTGTACCCAATTTGAAGAAGACAATTACAGATTAAATAGCAAATTTTCTCTTCCCCCCCCCCCAAGATGGAGATAATAATTTTTAGAACAGGCAATTCTTTTTGTAGCTGTTTTCTCAACATTATTCTGTAAAGCACTGAAATATGTCAATTTTATAAAAATGAATAAGTCAGCATATTTGCACTTAAATATTTCTACAAAGTTTGCATATAATGATGACGGAAAATTTAATAAAAAACCAAATATTTTATTCTTTGGAATTTTGTTCAGAATAGATAATACTGGAACCAAATTTTCTCCAGCATTTGAGACAGCTTTTCTAAAATAATACATCTTATTTTAATAAATTCAGAAACTGGAAATGGATACGTATGATCACCATTAAGAGAAAAAGAGTCTCCCTTTTTTAATATAATATATAATGCAAGTTTAAATGATTGAAGGAAAGGAATGTATGCAGCTTAAGTAAGTGGGTTATTTTCAGGCTGCAAAAATGAAATATAGGAAAACATTAAATAATCACGATTATAAAGCACAGAATCAAAAATACTTGTCTTGAAGAGTATTCCTGATTCTATGCTCTTATATGCTTCTCCACATGAAATTTAGCACAAATGAATTACAGTAATACCTCGCACAATCTGGGTAATATGTTCCACCACTGTCCTGGACTGTTTGAAAATGGTAATTGGTTCCAAAAAATATTTTCTTCATTTAAAAAAAATGAACATTTTTCAAAATTCATTTTTTACTTTATAAACACTGCAATATTGATGTCTGCATATGTTTTTATTTGGACTTTTCTCTTGATATATTTCTTTGTAGCAACAAAATGCATCATTTACCCTTTAACGGAATTTACCCTTTTTTGGAATCAAATGCATATGTTTTTATTTGGACTTTTCTCTTGATATATTTCTTTGTAGCAACAAAATGCATCATTTACCCTTTAATGAACTGTTTGGTTATGTTCAATACTAGAATCAACTTCTGTAATATGCTCCAACAAGATTTTAAATATTCCAATCTTTTAAAAAAAAAAAAAAAAAAAAAAAAAAAGTTGTTCAGTTGCTGATTCTCATGCAGAGATTTCAATATAATCATTGCTGTTTAAGTTGTCCTTATGTTTTTCATCCATGCTAATAAGTGTTTCATTATCTAATTTTGCATTACACAGCTTTTAAACCACATAAAAATAAACTGCACAAACACAGACCTAACTATATAAATGGGGTGAAACACCACTCATTCACATATTAAAAAATAATTCTGCATATTAATTTTTAGAATCCATTTTTACCCTGTTCAATTAACATTTAATTTGTTTTGAGATATTTTGAACTGGACTACAGAGAATTGAGACTATGAGAGAAAATGCTGCATTCAAAAATAAATTCAAGACTTTTTACTATTTATTATATACAGTAAAAAGTCCAAAATCCAAACGCCCATTATCTGGAATGATCTAAAATCCGGACTTCAAAACCATCAACAACGTTTTTTCGTAGGCTTTACACATGCACATTTGATCCCCCCTCCGTACATAATAAAACATCTGGAGAGTCCCGATTCTTAATTTCACTTTGACACTAAATAAAATACCTTATTATTGAAACAATTATTTGAGCACAAATTTGTACGATCAGTAATTTGGCTCCGTTGCTGCATATCTGCTTGACATACATCTCAAACCCAAACAGTACACATAGATACATCATTGATCTGATGCCAACCTGGCAAATCGTTATTTATTATACTTTCCCTTTCATTATCGCATGTTTATCAAAACATGACAAATTGAGTAATGACTCATGTAGCGATGCCTAAACAATTTTTTATGTTAGTAATTGGATAATAAAGGAGTATGGTAACCTTTTATGTTTACGCTTGGCGATGATTACAGATTTAAGTTAAATGCGCTAAAAAATGTTGACGAGGAAAAATTTACCAAAAACTTCTTACCATATGCTAAAAATAGATTTTGTTGATGATAGTCATAGACCTAAAGATTACATTTAGGGCTATTTGAATTAAGAATAACTGATTTCTTATTCACATAAACCCAGAATCAGCGCCAGGGCTTGTGTGGCCGCATCGAGTCAGAGAATGTAAGACCCACAGAGACTGCATCAGGCGGTAAGATATCTAGCGCTGGCTCTCAATAAGGCTTAAGTATATGGTGGGAAGTAATTTAATCAGAACTCTGATAAGCCTTAAGCATGTGCAAGAAATAGACATAAATATAATAAATAATAAACTAATACAATTCAGGGTTAATTCTCTCAGTGTGCGATAGAAGGAAGATAAAATTTGATGTAACAACTTGTCGTTAGTCGCCAAGCTCATGATGCATAGCCAAATATGTATTGTGAAGAATAATTAAATTTGATGACAACAGCCGCTAATTTTAAAGGTTTCCGGATATCGCAAAACAAAGGTGAAATTTTCCAATTAACGGATTTTGTAAAGAAATGTGGAGAAGCGGTAATAAATGAAGATCATATAAAAGAAGTTTTTCATTGTGATGACAATGCTTTTCAATCATCAATCAATTAATGAATGGCGAAATCTGTAGTATGGTTCTACAACAATGTAATTCAACAAGAGATTATGTCTGTCTACAGAATTAAAAAGAAAGTATTAGCACAAAAAACAAAGCAACTTGCATTGAAAGAAATGTTTAATAAGTTAAACAAATGAATATTAAGTTTTTTTTTTGTAAATTTTGATACTCTTTAGATCATAAAAACTTCATTATTTCATAAATCGCAATTTCATATTTTTAATTTCATAATTTCTACATGCCATCTTACTTGATTTAAACTTATGATCTAATATCCAGAAAAATCCTAAATCTGGAATCGCCAAAGTCCCGACGAGTCCGGATTTTGGACTTAGTACTGTATTAGTTTTTGTTAAAAGAATACAAAATTTAACAAACTTTTTTTTGCCGTGTTACTTGATCCCAATCGTCAACAAGCCAGTGTTTGAGTTCATCTGGAATTTTTATCTTTATTTCAAGTTTCTGCATATATTCCTCTTCCTAAAAATGAAAATGAACTTCCTAGTTTAAGACTACAGTCAAGATATTTATTTGACTTTATTCTAAAAGTAATTTTTCATATATTCATATGTAAACTTTTATTAAAAATATAAGGAACATATAATGTATATTTCATAATTCAACTGAATTTTATTAAATATCAAGGCATAACTAAATAAACTTACTCATAATAACGACTGATAAAAATGCCAATATTCTAGAGAACACCAATATTAATGATTATAATAGTCTTCTCAAAGATGATCACTCCCTAAGCCCCACAAGACCAAATATATTCATTAAGGCAAGCTTTAAAATGCCTATTTTATATTTAAGTTACCATATGAATTAGGAAACTTATCTGAAAGTGAAAAATTATATTTTATGAAAAAAAGGTTTTCTACACATTAAATCTGGCATAACTTCTCATAGTCTTCATAACACATCATTCTTTAAATGATTAATTAATATTCTTAAACTGCTTATATTTTTTCAATTTTTTGTTCATACAGTTGCTAAAGCAAAAAGCAGCAATGTTTATTTCAAAGTTGAAAACTAAATGCATATATGGAATGTAAGAATATATTTGATTTTTTAATCATTAATTAATAATTATAACATTTCATTAAGGAGATAGTCACAGCTTTGTTGCAGTAAATTCTGTTGCAATACAAAGATTAGACATGTTCTTTCTTGATTTGAATCCACACAATCACATAGATCTTATTTAAATGATGAAGCATCCGCTCTTGTTAATTTCTGCACTGAAGTTTTTTTAAATTAAAATAAATATTCTAAAATGTATGAAAAATATCAACTGAACAATTTTCTTTTTTAATGAAAAAAAAATAAGAGACAATACAAGGGCTACTGACACTGTCAAGTAAATACACAATTTCTTTCTTCTTAGCTATAAAAGAATTTAAAAAAATTAATATTCTAACGTAACTTATGAAAAGTTCTATTTAACTTCCACTTTTTGCATAATGCTAGAAAACACAATTTAATTATTTATCTGCGAAGGTTCACAAATGGGAATCTTTGAAGAGAGGAACTAAAAGAAATTGCAAGGAATTTATTTCTTTTATAACAGCTTAAGTTATAGGTTAAGCAAAAACTAGCAAGAAAGTCTAAGGGCTCTAAATTTTATATTAAATAACAGATATATACCAGGTTCATTCAATAAGTCACAAAATATGCCATTTTTTAATTCATTTTCTTTTGAGTTAATTGTAATCATTTTAAATACATATCGGTCTTCTCAATCATATGAACACTCTGGCTACAACATGCTCATAATTACTGCATAAAGTAATATGCTCACAGAAAATAACCACTAAACAATACATTTCTATAATATGTTAAAGGCATAAATTTGTCTATTAATGAAACATATTTTAGTAGCCATAACAAAACATATATGGAGTTAAGAACCTTTTAAAGTAAATTTTGACACAGAAAGGGCTTAGAAAGATTACAGGAAAGGAGTGCCTATTTTTCATAAGAAAAGAAAATTATTCTGCTTATAATAATTTTTGTATCCACAACCCAAACTCTTAAAAGCTTCTTTTGAAATTCACACATAACAGGAGGTTGAGTGATTTAATTTATCAAAACTGTATTTTACAAATTTTGCTGTTTATGAAATGCTATGCAATTCCTTTAACGATAGTAAAAGCAAAATAAATTTTTTTGATAGTAAATATACTTAAAAATTGCAATAACTGTTTCATCATGGCTTGCATCTATTTTTAATGATTAAAATGAGAAATATATTAACTGATCAAAAGCAGATCCCCATCTCAGGTACATTTAAATCTACATTTAATAATACATTTAAATCTAGACAGCATATTTTCAATAGAACCGACATAAAATATATTAATATGATTTTCATATTTTTAGTTAATAATATAATAAAAATATATAAGTAGCACCAGAAACACTATAAATAGAAATTAAAAGCTTACAGTTTCAACATTTTGCTCAGCACGAGTTCGTTTCTTTCGCTGTAAATCAGTCTGACTCTCTGCTGCTGGAGGTGGAGGAGGTGCAGTAACTATTAGCAAAGAATTTTCTAATAAAGTTGAGTAACAACAGCAAAATTTAATGCCAACAGAAAAAGACAACATAAAGGTTACAAATTGTCTGAGATCACATTATGGGAAACAAAATCTTTTATCTTTCACATTATGGGAAACAAAATAATTTTATTAAAATAACAGTCCAACATAGTTTCTATAAAGTCTGATAAAGCCTTCAATTTTTGCAAAATATATGACTAAGTAGTTTTACAATTTATCTGCCGTTGCACTCAAATAAGATTATTTAATCAAAATTATTCTTAAAAACATTTCTAAAGATTGGATTTATTATACACAGGTACAATGCATTTTTATGAGAAATATGCATGAATTAGCTGGAAATTTCCTACATGAGAATGATCAAAAGGAACTGCACAGGATTTTTCTTCATAGTGGTTATGTATACTGGTATAAAAAAGGAAACCAATGGCTGTTTTGAAAGAGAAGTTAAGAACTTTTAGCGAAATATAAGAATTTAAGAATTAAGAAACTGAAAAAAAAAAAAAAAAAAAAAATTAAAGAACCCATCACCAAACAAAATCGGATGAATGAAGCAATTATCTATGTAATCACTTTCATTCTCACAATGTTATCCTAAGGATAAAGCAAAAAATATGTAAGATACATTATTTTTAAATACTATCTAACATTTAACATAAAACAAGTTCAAGAATAAAACCAACTTTATAAAAGTTTGTAAATAGTTGAAATTAAATTATGATTATAATCTTTAAAATACTCTTTTAACAGTCTCACATATTTTAAAGAAGATTTATATAATCACAATTAATTAAAAAAAATTTTAAACACAAATAAAATCACAATCTATGGGCATTTTTCAATTTCAGTCTAAGGAACAAATAATTTAGTATGTTGGTTTAAAAAAGACATGAGAAGAATTATCTGATTTTGATATTAAGAGATACAAAACATTCACAACACAACATAATATTTGCTTTCTTAATCTGAAAAATTTTGAATATTTTAGCTCAATTATATTTATTTTCTTCTTTTATTCTATTTCTTCTCTCTAGGTTCATCAGTTTTAATAAAAAACTAATGTTCCTACTAATCTCTGCCTATCTGCTAAAATATTTGCAAATTTGTTATTATCTTCAACAAAACCTTTTGAAGAATTTCCTTCTATCTTATTGTAAACAATTTCTTCAATAATTTTCTTTTTACCTATGAATTTCCAGATTTCATGACATTTTTGTTATTTAAAAAAAAAAAAAAAAAAAAAAAAAATGTATGTATTTAGAACACGTAGAAGAAATTACTAGTCTTTTTTTTTTTTTTTTTTTTTTTTTTTTTTTTTGAGTTTAACATTGAGCGCAACTCCAAAACCTATATAATCATCATGAAATAATACACATTCAGATATATAAGATGAATCTGTCAATTTTCAACATCTTCATTAACAAAGTTGTTCCTTTCTGTGGAAAGATTCCCATGTGACAAGAATTCTTTTCTGTAAATTTCCATACTTTTGAACAATGAACTCCCTCTCCAAAAGAGAACAAATAAAGGAAAGAAAAATTTATTAAGAGAAAAACATAGGAGATCCAAAGTAGAAAAGTACTTATTATTTAAATTGCATCAAACCTACTCAGAGCTCTCTGCAGACCATTGCTAAACATCTAGCAGTCGTGAACATAGTCACCACCATTGCATCTTTGGTAACAGCTCCTTAGCAACAGAGCTCTTAGTGTTGTTTAAATAGTGGGGCTATAATAATAAGGAAGTAATACAGAAAATTCAGATAATTTTGATTTTACTTCCTCCTCTCCAAATTCTCCACACAATATATGAAATTCATTACATTCTTATTGTGAAACACATCTGTCTATTTTACTTTAATATCATTAATGGATTTTTTATTCTGTCACAAGGTTTTCTGGATTTTTAGCAACTAAAATATCTGTCAATTACATGGAAAACATATGAATTTTTTAAAAATTCAGAAAAAAAAAAAAAAAAAAAAAAAAAAAAAAACAAAAAAAAAAAAAAATAAATTTTACACACAAAGCTAACATTATATTTGAATATATTGAAAGAATTAGGTGTGGAAAAGCTTAATTACAACATCTATTTTGCTTCTGCTAAATACAACATATAATCATCAACAAAAATACTTATATTTCATTTGTAAGTTATAAATGTAAAGATTTATATGCAGCTTAAGTTTGCAGTCTGATTTTTCTTTCTCTTTTTTGCAATGGAAGAATCTAGAAACATGGTATTTTAAAATTGCTTTGAATGCTGTGAAACCATAAAAGGCTGTGTTCAATTAAAAACCTAATTAAACAGCACTTGGCTTTATAAACATCCATTTCATAATCTTTTATGAAGAAATTTGATTTTACAGTACTAATTTTCTTACGCCTTTAAGAAATACATGCCATTTATTATGCCTTTAAGAAATATATACCATTTATTATGCCTTTAAGAAATATATACCATTTATTTGGCACAACTGAAAATTCTTTGCTCTAGTGAAAAATGCATGATTTGCAGAAATTTTAGATTTTCTGCAGAATTTCCAACTCGATAAATTTAGTGTCTTTTTCTGAGACAGCATAATTTATGAACTTAAAAGACTTCCAGTTAAATTGCAACTACAAGTAGCACATGCTATATTTTCATGCTGTTATATAAATGAACAGACCTGCAAGGTAAATACGCTCTTTACTGCAGGGTGTTTAATTGGAAAGCTAAGGGTTAGAATTCAAAACCAGCAATTTAACATATGATATGTACGGCACGAACATTTCGTCAATCATCGAGAGTGTTAGTTCTGTTTTGAATACAGTTTCCCTTGTCTCCCTTTTGATGAAATTCATAGTTCTTTTATATTTTCCATAGCTTGTAATTTTTAAGGAATTTTCACAGAAACTGTGGACAATATATAGCAAAAGAATTCATACAGTAGCAAAAAGGGATTTTTTTTTTTTTCTCACAAGAAGGAAAACAAGTTTAAATGTCAATCTCAATTTCTGGCACAAGTACATGATTTAAATAAAAACAATACGTTGATAAATCATCCCATTTTCATGACAATAGGTCGAAACATGGCTACAAGTTTAACCTTGAAGTTCAAGAAAACATTTTTTTCATTGCAAATACAATGGTACTTTGTTAACAACACCTATTTTGAAGATCACAAGGAAAAGCAATCAGAAATTTTGAAACTTTCCTTCTCTTATTCCTCACAACATCAACTTTCAATGGCTTTATTACATTCCATATGGTTTGAATTCTGTTTTCATCCAAAATGTTAATTCTCTGTCAAATTAGAAAAATTAAGGACCATTTACATATTTTCATTGAAACTAAGGACTTTTAAAACTATATAAACCTATGAAAACTTGATTTTAGTTGTATATTTTATAATTATATTTAAAATAAACACAAAAATTAAAGTCATTTTACATATTTCAAAAAACTAATTTATGTAATAGCATTTCTCGATCTAATAACTTTAAAACAAATAATCAATGAAATAATTTTATCCCACAGCATTTTATTACTTATCTTATAAGTGCATCATAATTTTGACAATAAACATCCTTTTATTAAAAACTTCACCTTACAATAACTAAATTATTCGATAGCATGTCTCCAGGAAGATGAAAATCCTAAAAATTTCTACAATGACATACTAGGATGGCCCTCCCTGCCCCCCCCCAAAAAAAACCTTTAAAAAAATTCTAATGCTATACCCTGGGAAAACTGCTTATCGCCTAGATCAGCAAAATGAAAATTGAACTTTTCAAATAAAATTATATCTTTCGTTTGTACACTGCAGTCAAAGTTTTGAAAAATGGCAACAGTTTCATGAATTATTTACAGTTACTAAACTAACTATTAGCAAATATGGGCTATTATGGGTCTAATGTGAATTTTGGGGCATGATAAATATGAAAAAAGTTAAAAAAACCTTTACTTTTAATTTGCTGCTTGCATAACAGCTCAAAAAACAGAATTTTTTGTAAAAATAGCAATATTTCGTGATTTTTGCTACACACCTTTTTAAACAGTGACTAAATTATCAAGCACTATGTAACCATATTATGTTATTGTAACTATTATGTAACTACGTATGTGATAATGGATTCAAACAATACTCACATTGTTGACAGAAACAAAATATGAGCAAGAAAAACATTCAATAACAGAAATGATTTGCAGAGTCAATCTTTTAGGAAATCCTACATAGTCTGTACATAATGGAAGAAAAGATGACATGATGTTAAGTTAAAGAATTTTTAAAGAACTGAAAAAGGAGGATCATTATTCTCTTATACAAGAAACAGGATCAGAATTTATTTATCATGTTTCTGAATCTACAGAACTTGTTAAAGATATAGCTTCTACCATAATTTCATATTTGACTACACAAGAATTCCCTTACAAAACTTGAAGTGATTAGGAGTGATGAAACTATAATTAATACTAGTTTAAAAAATGATATTATCCACCAGATCAAATTGCATGTTGGGAGACCACTGCAAAAGGATCAATTATACTTACTTCAGCAAGGATCAAATATACTTACTTGTTATTTCTGCTGCCATAAACTCAGGTAACATTTTAGAAGATTTAATGACCAAGTTCTCTAACTCTATGCGAACTTAGAAAAACATACTGATCAAATTAAATGGTTCATAGATTTTACTTTGAATTGTTACACCCTTCTATAGTTGAAATACTCTAAACTAGCAAAATTTCACAGATGCTGTTAAGATAGTTTTTGAAGCCATCAGACCAAAGGATATCTAGCTCAAAATTTAATGCAAGTTATGAACCTATTAATTCAGCTAAATATTTTTATTGCTCACCCAAAAATTTTATCCTCCCAACAAATGTAGATAAAAGATATATATCAGAGAACCAGAGCCCTGCCAATTGTTGAGAGTTTGATCTAAAAAAGTTTGTTTAACCCACAAGTCCTGTTTTATTATACAGTCAAAAG